TTTCTGGTAATTTCGTCAAGCATCACAATAAACCGGCATTAGATTTATCAAGATTTATCAAGATAATTTATCAAGACAATTTATCAAGATATTTTCCGATTTTAATGTGATTGAAAGATCAAAAACAAGAAAATACCCTAAATTCTACAAACAAGAGTACTTCGAGGAAAAATATAAATATTAAAGGCACGTAAGAAAAGACTTTAGTTACATGTAGCGCGCCAAGACGCTTCAGAGGCAAAAACACGGACCGACATCTCGAGAAAATTACGGTGCTGCATACATAAAATATGGACTGTCAGGAATTAGAGTACACATTATAAACAACTTGGCATAAATTAACTCCCGTGCATAAACAGGAAAGCATAATCAGAGCGCAAGCGAATCGTCCTATGAAAATAAATAAAAATGTTACTTGATTATTACACAAAAAGATACTTGTACATATTTAGCACACTTTGTGCATATCACATATTTTTTATTAAAGTATATTATTCACTGTACTTTTTTATCTGTTGTTAGCAACTCTTTTAACAATCATGAAGAAGTTAATTAACTTTATTAATTAGCTGATGTCCGAATAAGCTTTATCAAAACGTATTTTTCATGTTCAACAATTGATAATTTGAAAAATAGGTCAAACCCCGATCGTCTTCTTTTACTTCCAATATTCGCGTTACGTTAAATTAATGTTATGGCAGTTCAATCAATATAGAGTTTGATTCAATTTCTTAAATTGTTTTCACCCTCCGCGTCATTCGAGATGTTAAGGATAATAGAAAAAGCGCGCGTGGCTGTGAGCAAAATATATCCAATGTATTTCAGACGAGGGTACATAAATATGAAAGCCAAGCTCTGAGAAAAGTACATACATGTAAATGTAATTCAATAAGAAATAAAAATAGTAAAAACAAAAGTCGGAAAAAATTACGTAGATAAATGCATTATGTTCATAATAATTAATTGTACAATATCCTGTAGAAAAAGATATCAAAATATTACAAGTATACCTAACGAAAATTAATATTAACTAGAAATTAGTAAAAAAATCTGTAAAATGGTTCATAAAAGACAATTCATAAAATGTAATCATATTTAATTAATCACACCAATTTATCAAAAATTAAATCCTCTTTCGTAATTATCAAGTAGAATACTAGATTAATCAAAGAGACAACACTATACTGACAGTCGATATATCAAAAGCTATCATTTATTTATTTCTAAAATTAAAATAAACAGTTTTCAGTATTTATTTCAGGAAACAAAATGGCAACTTTTAATATGTTGACTTTAATATCTTACATCATCTTTCTACGATTCTATATCACTAAGTATATTATCGATTGCAAAAAAAGATGCAAAGATCTGTATAATTTTCAAGAAACAACGTTTAAAATTCTTTTAAAAGGAAATATACTGTACAAAAATATTTCCTTCTAATTTTAATAGTTTTAAGTAAATGATAGTAAATTATAGTCAATGTTTTGAACATATGTAACGTAAAATTAAAAAAACGAGACTTTAAATTTTTTTATAAGTACTTAAAATAAGAAACATTCTATTTTTATGTGCTTTTATACACGTCAATACGTTAAAAAAATAAAACATTACTTTGAAAGAAAAATTCAATTTTTACATTTTTTAACGAATACATAGCGTCGTTCAAAAATAATAACTGATATGGAAGAATCAAGAATGTTTTAAATAAATGTTTTAGGATTCAAAAACAATGAATTCAGATTTCCTTTAATATCATATTTTTCAAAATATCCTATTATTTTTTTTTTAATATTCTACTATTGTTTTTTAAAATATTTCATACATGTAGCTAAATTTTTTCTTTAAATAATTTTTAAATGTATTACAAAAATTTTTTCATTATAAACAATAATAGGAGTTTTGAATTATAAATAAATATATACATGTACAGAGTGTTTTTGCACCGAAAGTCAAAACTGCTACAGCAACGTCAGCATATGAAAACAAATAGAAAATGTCTAATAAACAAACATTTGATTCCGAACAATTTCGGAATTACAAGATATTGAAATAAGAAAATATAAATCGAAGTGAATGTTGTTCTATTTAATGCTTTACAAAAAATATTCAAAAATTTCTCCATCAACTTTAACATATTTTCTAAATCTAAAACGAATTAATAAATCGCTATTTTAATTTGTTAATAAAAAGAAGCCAGGATATTTCTTAAAGGCCAGCGAGAAATTCCGACCTCACACGACTGTGAAATTTTTCTTTGGGGACAAATGAAAGATCTAGTTTGAAATAAGATTCAAGATTCAAAACAACTGATGACAACTGATACTTAATGTTGTCGATGTCATCCAAAATAATTTATTAATTTATGCATCAAAAATGTGTCAAAGTTGACGGAAGAATTTTTGAGCATCTTTTATAAAGCATTAAATAGAATAAAGAACATTAAACAACATTTTGTATTTTATGTTTTTTTTCCAAAATCGTTCGGAATTAAATATATATTACATATTTTCGACTTATTTTCATGTGCTAAAGCCACTACAGCACTTTTAGCACTCACTGTAGAGACATTCGGTATAGTAGATCTTTGGAATAATATATGTATAGCATTATCAAAATTTAAATATATCTTTTAAGATATCTTTAAAACCACAAAATATATATAAATATTTTAAATATTTTTTATATTTTATTATTTTATTTTAAAACAAAAATACATTAGAAACATACAAATCTATTTTGCTCGAGGGAACATTTTATTTCTTTAACGTAGATAATAGAATTTATTTAAAAAATACCTGTTTTTTAATGTATATCTATTACAACACATCCAAAGCTCAACAAAATTAGAGCAAAACACTGTTTATTATGTATGTGCTTCATTGTAAAAAAAAATATACGAAATATATGAAAATATATTTTAAAGATAATACGATAAAAGGTACTCTATTATTTGACACTGAGTATTTTTCTTATTCAGACGTTTATTCCAGACAGGATATTGCCGTATAAAATATTCTTCCTGAATAGATAGGTTCATCCTTTACGTTTTAATCTAGTTGTGTTTTGAGTTTATTTCGCTTTTGTTGCACACATAAAGATTTCCATACTAACTTTGTAAAATATTGCTTGCTCCAAGCAATATCTGTTGGCATGAAGCGACTATTAACATTAATATAATATAAAAACTTTGTATAGGAAACGCTGTTAAAACATAGCAGAAGAAACATTTAAATTTGAATTTTAGATAAACAAAAATATTTCTGTTTTATTACAAAAAATTCTTTTTCTCCCTTTTGTTCTGAATTATTTTGTTCGTTTGTTTCAATATACAATATAAAATATAACATTCGATAGTCAATCTACAATCAGCATTTATTCTCGAATAGAATGCAAACATTTGCAATGTCGCACTTTTTAGTATATTAAAGTTTAACAGTTAAATTTAAATGTAGGCAAATGTCGAAAAAAAATTTTTTTTAAACTCATTACTAATTATAAAAAATCGCGGCAAGCCGTAATTTAATTTGCCAGCTTGATAGTTAAGTACCTATTTGGTTAAGTTATTGCTCGGAAGAATTTCTCAAGTCGCGTGCAAACATGTAGAATGGTACAGCTGAAAAAACTGAGTAAAGAGGTGACACTCAACAGCGCATGTTGCGAGAGCATAAATATCGAAAGCATCCTGAGGAAAAGGATGGTGAAACCGCATAGCACCGACGCGTACGACGTCGAAAAAAGACCAGGGAAATCCCGAGGAAATTAGATAGCCTCGCGCATAAGAGATGCGCGCCCGGAAAAAGCCGAATCTAAATGCAAATATGCGGCTGGCTGGTGCGCGCGTGCATCGAGTGCGGGCGTCGCGTCGCGTCGACAGCGTATTTCGCGAAATTCCCGCGACAACGCACAACAACGGGAAAGTATTTTTCGCGCTATCGATCCCTACCCGCCTGCCACCTAATAAAATCTAAATAAAAGTGCCTGTCGCCCAGTGACGGCTCGCACCGGAAACGCTAAAAAAATTGTGGTCCCCGACTTGAGACTTCTATAGACTTAAGCTACACGAGGAATGTCTAGAAAATGTGCAGATGTGCGTATGTAAACGCTGTCGAAGCCGCTAAAATAGGCGTTTAAGCGTCGCTGAAACGACGGAGAAAAAAAAAGAGAGCGTTCTCCTATATTCATAGATATATGCTCTTATCAGCAAATGGACAAAAGCATTGCTGTATTTTCCACATACGATATGGCTCCTCACGACTTCTATTCATAGAGAGATAAGATACATAATACATATATCCATATAAGGTTGCACATGGGAAAAGCTTGCACGTTTTCTTCACAGGTTTGCGCACGCATTGCGCGTATGTTGCACCGTATATATTTACTTTGTATAATACCTAAATTAAATATGTAAAGAAAAACGTGTGGGAGAATATTGGAAAACAAAATTCCAAGATTACTCGGATGTTCTCTTGCTAAAGGAAATAATTTTTCATCAGTTGACATTAGTTTTTATGCCTATATGACATAAAAGGGTATAAGAAATTCCGAAAAAAAGAAGTACAGGTATTACAATTTACCGGCTGAACTCGTTCTAATTTCTCAAAAGTTTCTTGACAAAGAGTATAATTTATAATTTGTGTAAATATAATCCGTTTATTACCAAAAATTCACAGTTTATTAACCGTTTTTCTAAATCTTTTGCCATTTACAAGTACATAAAATATAAGAAATAAAATAATTAAAATAAGGGACGCACAGCGTATTTTTATAAATAATGTATATATATATAATAAATTATAGAATAAATAAACAATAAATATAATAAATACATAATAAATTTATACAAGTGTAAAATTATGTACTTACAAAAATGTAATATTCGAATTATATTTTATATATAGAATAATATAATAGACAGGGTGTTACGAATCGCTCATAATTATAAAAAGTTACAAATATGATGAGTATATAACTTCGTAATAAAAGTTTCTGCTTACCGACCACCTCAAGGTGGAGAAATATACTCGTGGGCGGATGAGTGGACACTTGGCACTCGTACAGTCCGGCATCCCTCGGTTGAACGTATTTTATTTGGAGCGTCCAATCCTCGCTGTGGTGGAAATGAATTGCCTGAAACCGTTCGTCGTTGGCATATGTCGTCAGTCCTACGGTCAGTAGCTCGTGTAACAAAGCATTCTTCCGTTTGATCCACGATACCTGCGAGCAACCAGAAAGATTTATTCATAAATATAATTCAATATCTGTATTGATTGTAAGTTTATTATATAATATTATATCACAAAAGTAGAGAAAAGGCCATTTTTAACTTGGACTATATAAGTATGGACTGCTAGTCCCCTCTCCCCCCCCAACTTTTATTATGTAAAAGATATATGTCCGGTGTCGTCGAGCTGAAGTTGGTTAAGGTATCAAACTTCGATTTTTAGGCTCCATCCCAGTCAATAAAAAAATGTCAAATGTATCAAATGTTATGTTGAAAAAATTGATAGGGAGCCGGAAACAATCTCAAATCAACGGGAAGGAATTAATAACAGACTTTCAGCACCTTTCCTTTACACAATATCGTAAACACGCTGATTTCACAGGAGCCCCCCTCCTCCCCGTAGAAAATTACTGACTAGGGTGGAGTCTACATTTTCCAGCTTGGCGACACTGAAGTTTGGCGTATGAAATTAATTACTATCAGTCCATACTTATATAGTCAATGATTTTTAATGGATTTCAATTATTTTTTCCTTAATCTATGCTTTTTTGATAATCAAACAAAGTTGTTATATACTGAGATCTTATTCTTCTATCTCAGAGATTGTATATAACAATTTTCACCTTTATAATATCAATATACAGAATTTGAACATCTGTATTAATTATTTCATAATAATTGCAAGCGTGAAAAAAAGCGAATTCAATACCATAAAATAAAATATTTTCATAATTTCAAGAATGAAAAGACTGAAAAGAATGGGCAAAACTGAAGAATTTCAAACCTACACATGTAAAGTTCATATTGAATTCATATAGGTATGCATATTGATAAAAAATTAACGTCGATTTGTTCCCAAAGCGTGCACAAAATTTAATGCAATTTAAAGCGAAATAACCCACATATAAAAGTGGAACGTGCAAAAAAATATGTTTGTTGATTACGTAGTATTAATCTTGCGTATTATTTTTAGTTATTCAACGTGGCTGGTTATGTTCATCATCTCCATTCGCTTTTATAGGTGATAAAATTGAGCATTTTGCTACGACTTTCATATGATACGATAATTGGAATACAGATTGCCAACGCACCTGTCGCAATTGTTAGTCATAACAGTCGGTGACTACTGTCCGTATATAATGAACAGTAATCACTGTCCGTTCATAACGGTTAGAAACTACTGTCCGACATAGCGATCCGCAACTACTGATACGCGCCCGTAGAACACAAACAGTAACTGCTGCGCGTATAACTACTATCTGCTCGCTCCGCAGTCCGCAGTGCTCGTTATTACATTAATTGCTCGTGTCTTAATTCTGCATACGCAGCTATTTGAAAGCATTAACCCTGCAAACAAAGGATATATACATATGTCCTGCGTACTTGAAATATTTCGCGCGATTTAGTACCCCTACGTACGTATATAATACTTGTACGTCCCTTGTAAAAACACAGCATGCAAAAAGTGACAAATAATAAATGGGGTGTGAGTCGAAGTTTAATCTCTTTTCTTTTGTTCTTTTTATTTATGCTGACGCCGAGTAATATTCCAGTACTTGCAAATTTTATCGCGGGTACATTATAATAGTTACCATAATGCATGTATAATTTTGAAAGTACAACTTCCTTATTTCCACGCATATGACTTGCAGATTTACACGTAAATAAAGCCATCATATTTTTACAAAAATGAGATCAAGTTTACAGTCTGTTGTTTTTATTAAAAAAAACGTTGTTGCTATGATTTATCATACGAAATAATCATATTAAAATGTATCATATTTATAACATGTGTGTTCTAAAAAATATTATGATAAGACACGTAATAGTTTTGTTACATTATCTGAAAAATGTTTCATACGCTTCCGGCATTTTTACAACTAAATTTTCGTTTCTTTATATATAGCGAAGAGTCGCTATATCCTGTAGATTAACCTTGCATATTTCTACTGATAATATATATATTTCTCATTATTTTTCATTTCCTACAAAATCCACAGTTCTTGCAGCCTAAAACCTCTTCGCGTCAACTATCTATCTACTCGTATTTCATTACCGTGAAATCCGCACTTGCGCGATAACACGGTCGCTTTATTGTGCGATATCGGCTTAGGAGCTTAAACAATGAATATTCCCATTTGCCTGGCCTTCATCACACTGCGGTTAATTACGAGCATCTCGCGCGAGAGGTGCGGGAGGTGCACACTCTACCCACCTACGCCAAATTAGGCATTATAAAGTTTGTGACGTCAATGAACCACTCAATGCCGGCAACTATTAGTACGTACCGGATGCTCGCGTAAGGCACAGCAACTACAACTTGCAACGGCCAGTATCTGCGGCAAATATATGTATATATATATACACGCAGCGTATACGCGACGCGACGGTCAGTAACTACGTGACACGTCAATAACGCGCGGTAACTATCGTATACGTAATTCCGCCTGACTCGGACCACCCTGAAAGCCCCTCAAGAAGCGCCGTCAGCCAGAATAATCCGACGACTGTGCCGCGCGATGATTGTAGGGCTCGTGACCGGAATTGAGCGTCAAGTCCAAAGACGTTTAGATCCCCCTTGATAACCACATATTTCTTACCCCTTTGTCACGCTCTCTGCCATCCCGGTACCGATAGAGAAAAATATATGTCGAATGAAAAGTATCCGCGATGCATAAAACATTTTGATATTTATATACTGAAAAGTATTTGCATCGGATGTACGGCGAAATCTTGTAATTCACATATATATTAATATGTATACAATAAATAATGATATAAAAATTTAAATTCAAAAATATATCATTTTTCGAAATATTCTTTCACATGTTACTACTATTCTAGCCCCTAGTTCGATAGCTCGTTTCGCATCTTTCTGCGCAGCATAAACCGATGTGATATTTGCTCGCAGACGGATATACCGTAGAGAAATATCCTATGGAGTCGATCAGAAGACGTATCTCCACAAGAAAATATTTTACGTTGATACGACTTGGCCAGCATCCATTTTCACATTTCACCGGAACGGAAGTTCGCAGTCTGTAAAACCGAGCGAACGAGTCGTTCGCTAGACAGGACACACGTCACGAGTTAGTTAACTTTATTGCGCATTTAAACGTGCCAGACACTAAAGAGATTTAAGTGATTTTCTACCCTCGGGCACAAGATCCATTTTCGACGGTGCGGCGCGCGGCGTGGCGATTCATACAGCGAAAAATAATTCAGAGCGATTAAATGTTAAATATACAATAAGGAAAAAACATCGCATTAAAATTAATGACCGTAAAGTCATTGAAAAGTCCCGTGGCAAATTTGCTTCTATCGAACTGGAACGCTTCTGTACATTTAATATACAGGCAACGTTTGTAAACGTAGTGTATTTTGCAAATAGTGAAACGAAATATTTGTAATGAATTCGTATGTATATACACTGGAAGAAGTACCGAGAAATTTACATAGGAAATGAAGGTAAAAATTTTTCTGGAGAAACTTGCAGTGCGGAATGTTGGAAAATAGGAAGGAAGAACCAGAGGAAACCAAATGTAATTAACTCTTTTATTTCAAATGACGGCATCTCTCGGCTCCTGCACGTTATTTTTTTTATCATCGCGGTATTGTTGTCTCTTATCGTTAATTAATTACCATGTGTGTATCAATTAAAGATACATTTTTATTTATACGTTATTTATACTTTTATGGAGAAAACATGTGTATTGTGGATATATGTTACATTTATTATTAAATACATTTTATTTGTCTCATAAAGAGAGAATTATACATCTGATTGTGAGTATTTTGAAAAGCTTAATGAACAATATAAATGAAAAATTAATTCGATGGCACACTATACGTTTTGTCATTACACTGGATATTGTGTAAAAATATCGCATAAAAATAAAGATATTATAGCAAAATTTTTTTTCAATCGAAACGCCAAATATTAACGAATATAACGATAACAAGCAAATGCATATATCTTTTTTAACAAAAAAAAGTTATATAAAGTAAAAAGTAAATATAATAGTAAAAATATATAAAGTAAAAAAAACGTCGAATATATCATATCCACTCCCTAAAAGTAAATCAGTGGAATCATCACTGATTGTCAGTGTATATCATTTTCCAGTGACATACTTAGAACTGTGATAAACAGTGACTATTTCAATGTCGCTTTAGTGATAATACACTGATTTAAACAGTAAATATTACTGAAAGACAGTGAATTTGATTGTTTGACAGTGAAATTCACTATCTTTCAGTGATATTCACTGTTTAAATCAGTATATTATCACTGAAGCGACATTGAAATAGTCATTATTTATCACAGTTCTAAGTATGCCACTGGAAAATAATATACACTGATAATTAGTGATGATTTCACTGATTCACTTTTAGAAAGCACGGTGCATGAAAAAGTTAATAATTGCAGACTTTACAACAATTACATATTTTAATTGAAATCTCTTGATAATTAATATTAGATGCAGTTTAACCAGGCATACTTTCAAAGGCAAAATTAAAGCCACTTTTTGTAACGTCTAAGAGCAAATAATCGATTTATTTGTTCACAATAATCCGTTATTTATGTGTTGCGCGCTAATAGGCCAGAATCTTTTATCTTAACGAGAAAATATTTTATGTGTCACCTGGATGGTCGATACCCATTAACCTGTAATTTTAATGGAGCTGTATTTTACAAAATGGTGTAACGTGGAAAGCGTCGTTAATATAGTATATCTCGTTGCAAGCTTTATCGTGTATTCTAACCGTTCTGCATGAAAAGGTTTAAAATAATCCCTTCGTGAGGAAACACAAGATCGACATAGAGAAAGGTTACGAAGAACCCTAAATTCTCTCTCTCTCTCTCTCTCTCTCTCACTCTTTCTCTCAATTCGAAGTAGTACGCCAGACTCAAAGATCATAAATATTAAAAGCACCTGGGAGAGGTTCATACGTACGTAGTATTTCCCAACTAAATGCGCTTCTTGAAATC